CTGAGAAGGAGCAATCCCTGAGCTGACGTCACCCAAAGGTAAACGAGTCCATGCAAACCTGGTTGCGACAGGTAGATTTATTTTTATCCATTCTTTCCTGTCACACTTGGAAAGAAAAAAATTATTAAAATTAAAATTTTTTTAATTTAAAAAAATTATAAATTTAATTCTCCTTTTAATTTCAATTTCTCGTGTAAGTAAGTAGAATAGTAAATCGGCGCGTCTAACAAGTGCAATGGAAGAAAGAGAAAATGCACGTCGGCATGAAATTGCACTTGAATCTGGTGACCGAGCAAGGCTCGAGAATGTAGGTGGGCGCCGGAGTGGAGGCTCAGCCAGCAGCGTGCACAACTTGCGATTTCTCCTCTCTCTCTATCTAATTAATTTAGCCGGCGTACGTATGTGTTTGCCTGCCATACCAGTGACCTCCATAAATTAGCACGCGACAACGCTGACCGCAAATCCGACCGAGAGTCGATAGTAGCGCGGCGCAAGCAGAAAATTACAGAATATAGAATGTGCATGGAAAGGCGACCGCAAATACATAACACAATACACACTTAATAAAACGTCCGTTTGTTTGTCCACAGTTGGCGAGATAAAGAAGAAGAAACCGTGGCGGACGCAAAGGAAGTGACAAATGGAGGGAAATCATTGAACCTGCTTCAAAACAAAGAAAATCAACTTAATTTTCAAGATAAATAAAAATGGTTCTTTTCAATTTTTTTAGTTTAATACTTTTTTAGGGTTCATTTTCAAATCTAATTGATAAGGCAAATTCAAGATACAGAAAAAAATTACGAAAAACAGAAAATTATTTAATCTTGTGAGAGAGAACAAATTATGAATTTTTCAGGGGTGTTCTAATGTCTTTTTTTTCTTATTTTTATTATTTTTTTATTTTTTTAATGTTACTAATTAAAATAAATTCAAATTATTAATTTTAATTTAAAAATACTTATTCAAATTTAAATAGTCTGACACCTAATCATTGCTTCCTCTGATTGCTTATGAAAAGAGCATTCGAAGAATGGGGCGTCGTTTTTACAGGCGCTGCAGTGTCAGCGGGTCGGCGGAGGCGGCGGGAGGACGGGCGGGTTATTGATCTGAGGGTGTGCATTCGGAGGCGGCGGCAGTCAGGTTCACGGTTGTGCACAGCGCGCGAGGTCTCACTCCTCAGCGTATTGATCAGCGCGGCCGCCGAGTGCAGCCGCATACACGAGGGTGCACATGTGGCTCTGCCCCTGGCCACCCCAAATTTAAAAAAAAAAACTCAATCGGCCTATGTGCAAGAATGATCACACTAGGGACGTTTGAAAAAAACTAACATTGCACTGTTTCCATGAGAAAAAATATTTTAATCTAAATTATTTTGCAAGAAATTATTTTGCTGTATGCTAGATTTCATTGCATTTTTTTTTTAATTCTTGCATAAAGTTTCATAGCGGAAATTATGAAAATTTAATTTTTTTTAAACATAATTCTTATAAGGTCTCAAATTTAAAAAAATAAGTTGATTATTATTTGAAAAGGTTTCAATTTTTCAAGAAATTAATTAAGGAAACTTTTCGTGAAATTTTGAAGTTAATCATTTTCATTTGTTTTTTAATTGTTTCCTAAATTTTAATTTTTGCACTAGAATAATTTAAGAAAAAAAAATACATTAAAGCTGTTGATCTTTTGCAAAAATGAAGTTTTTACAATGTAACCAAGCTTGTTAATTTTTAACATCAAAGATGTGCAGATTGCAGACCTCAATCAACCCCTTCGTCTGAATTAGAAGTGTTTAGTGTTGATGGTTTACAAAGAAAAAGAATCGTGGCCCATTGTAAGATGCTAATGAGCGCGGCCAAGCGGCCAAAAGCGGCGGGGCAAAATAATCACGCGTCCCAATTTCAAAATAATGGCGCCCGTCCAAAATCACAAATCTAAGGAACGTTTCAGGGGCGGAGAAAAAACAACGTAAAAAGTCTGATGCAACGCGAGTCAACAGGAAATTTCTTACAAAACGGGGCATTTGTTTTGCGGCGAGGTGCCGACCGACTTCCTCCTCTCAACTGCCTTATCAACGCTGTGAGATTTTGACATATTTTGCTAATCTTTCAATTCCCTAACTCTACTGTTATCTGAATAGAAATTGGATTCAACAATGATTTTGAAATTGAAATATTTCATATATGCATAGTATTCTAAAAAGTTTTTGTATTTATTAAGTTTGCATAGATTTACTTGAGGTTAATTAAAAAAGAATCAAGCCGTTCAGGTCCAAGATTTCAAAAACTTTGTATGTTTCACAAAAAACAGAGTTTTGTAAACTGAAAAACTTTGATGAAGGGAATTTCCAAACTTGGAAATATAATCTTTCAACATTTTGAAATTTTAAAAAGAGTTATTTTTAATCAGTTTTTTACTTAAGCTGAAAGTATTTTTCACTTGATTGATCTCCAGTTCTTGTGCAATAATTTTTTTGCAAAAATAGCTTTTGCAGATTTCCCTGTGGTGACTTTGTATGACCATAACAATCAAGCACCGTGTGCACGTTATGCATTGTCTGTCTATTGATAAGACGGCGGGCGGTTGTTTTTATCTCTGCGTGGCGAAACGAGGTCAGTCCGCCGTACACAATGGAGCCTCCACGTATATTATGTTTGAGTGCGTATACGTTACGAACGCTGCAATAATTAAGAGCAGATCATCGCGCCGCCGCTTCGCCTTCAACTTTTAACTCGCTCACTCGGTCCGATGTGTCATGGGCACAGCGAATGCATGCATAAATAATAGAACAAGAAGTGCACTTGGCCGCTGCACCACCAGCTCTAATTGACCTCGACCCGCTCCATCCGACAAACAGACGCGTCCGATAAATTTATGCTCCCCCCTCAGACCGCAATTGTTATCAGCGCGCGAAACTTTGAATATTTAGAATAATCAAAGACTGATAAAAACAAAAATAATAAAATATGTCTGTTTGCATGAGCATTGCAGAAGGCGGGCTGATTGTGCTGCTGCCAAAACTGGGTCGACGGACTTTAACGGACCGATAAGAGCAAAAAAAAAAACTGCAACTCGCTTGTATTGCTTAAAAAAAATTCTTTGCTTTCAATTTCAAAATAAATTTGGAGATTTTTAAAAAATAATTTTTTTTATTTTTCAATATTTTTTTAAACTGACGAAAAATTATAGACATTTTACTTTAAAAAATTTGAAAAAAATATGCTTACATTATTTAAAGAATTTTGCAGTTCATTTAACAATAAATTAATGTTGCTGGTTGCTGATATTTAACTCTATAAATAATTTAATAAGCATAAATAAGGACTCTGGATTTGCATAGTCAAATCTAGTTTTTTTTTCAAATGAGGCTCTTGTGGCAATTATTGGAAAAAAATTTGAAATTGTTGTAAAGAACATTGACAGCATTAAATTGATTTAAGATTTAAATGTTGAAAATAGAAATGACATTAAATTTGTCTTCAATACTTCGTCAAAAAAATATGTCAGTATTTTTTACTAATTTTAAATGTTATTAATTTTTTTGCAAACTTTAATAAACAACATGTTTATTTCAAAGTGTTATGAAACACTGATGTGCTGAAATTTCTCTTGGCTTGCGGCGAAACCAGTCCGCATGCTGGCAGCCAGTGTTTTACTTTCAGCTCGCTTGCTTTTTTCCTTTCTTTCTCGCGCTCTTTGCAAAAGAGATAAACCTTTTATTCTTTGACCAAGAGAGCATGAGTGACGATCGTTTCTGCAACTCGGGTGCGAAATATGAACGCGGAGGCCGAGAATAGCGTTTACTTCTGCAATCGGCGTGACGCAACTCGGTTGCAAGGTGCGCCTACACCTCAGTGCGAATATTGAGTATCCACCGCGAGCAAACGTCTCGCTATTGCAATAGTGCAATTGTGTGGCCTTCAATTGTTGTTTTCTCGGCTAGATCGCTCGCTATCGCCACTCGCGCCGATTCAATTGTGCATTATTCTTATGGAGAGGCACAGGGATTAAGCAAAGGATTAAAAGGTGGAGTGCGCACTTTCAATCCACTTGAAAATGGAGACTCGAAATGACTATTAAAAACTTGCTGCTGGCTAAAATTATAACTCATGCAAATACAGACAGTTTAAATTATTGCATAAAAATTGATCTTTTGGATAAAATATAAAAAATTGATAGATATTTCTTTCGAGAAAACAAGGTAAATGAAAATTTGTTCAAAATTTGATGATCATTTAAAATTTTGTTCCACTGTTCAGAAAATAAAGTATCGCATAATAAACGGTTTTCATTCAGCAAACATTAAATCTCATTTTTTAGTTAATTTAACACGTGTTTCAAAAAATAAATAAATAAGGCATCAACAAATGTATCTCTTTTAGCTTAATATTTTTTGATATTTTTTAGTTACAAAAGGTTAATTGGATTTTTTTACTCACATAGTGTCACTTTTTGCTTTTTTAACAAATGCTCTTTTAATTTTCTGGGTTTAGTAAAATTTTAGAGGAAATAAATTTTTTTAAATGGCCCATAAGAATGCCTGCTGATTTTAACTTTTCTTTTAAATTCAAATCAATTCTTACGTTATCTCAAGGGAAATGACCTGTATTTTAAAATAATAAGTTAATTTAGTATAGGAAAAATCCAAAAAAATGATAACCAAAATAAATGGAGCACTTTGATATCAGCGGTTTTGTGTGCTTTCGACCACATTAAAATAAGAGTCAAATTTTAACACTTAAATAATACTTTAAATTAAGTGGAATTCAAATTTTTTTAGTACAAGCCGAGACCAAAATAGAAAACTAGTTTTAATCAAATTAGCTTATTTCCTATCAAAGCGTCCAAACTGAGCCTTGATTTCTGCCTAAATTGTTTTTTTTTTAAATATCCTCTCAAGTCAGCTGCCTGTTAATCAAATTCTAAGATTCGCCTCTCACGTTTGTCCTTGCAGCAACCTAGGAAATCAATTTTGCGCGCAGGAAGGAATGCGAAAAGCGACTCACCTTGAGTGCAGCAGACGCAGCGGTTGATCTCTCGCTTGAATTAATTAATTCACTGCTAGTCAAATTTGGCGCGACAGTTGTTTTGCGAATTTCGCACACACGCGCACTCGAGACGAGGGTTTGTATGTATATCAATGACAGTGGTCAAAACAAACACACACCAGTGAGGAGTAGTAGTTTTTCTTCGCAGCTCACCGAAAGAAAGAAACACACTCTACGCTCCAAGTGGGCGTCGCCCTCCGAAAGTCTGAAACAAATCAAATCATATTCGTTTTATTTACAGGGTGATTGCATTCAAAACGGATTATTCAGTTAAAGGGGGAGGGGGGGGTAAACTAATTAAAAGAAATGATTGAATAATTAATAAAATTTAATTTGAAGGCGAACGGTGAAATTTTTATCTCGGAATTTTGAGCAAAATTTTTTCTAGTGGTGCCGTTTACCACCAACAAATACTTTTTCCAAATAAATTGTTTTCAACAATTGAATGTAAACAATGTGGACAAATTAACTACAATAATATTAATATTAAAACCCTTATTTAAGGACATTGTCAAATCAAGTCTTAACAAAAATAGAAGCCATTTTTGACAATTCATATAAATTTTACGAACCATTGTACAGACTTGATTTAACTAAGTCAATAAGGAGTCCAAAAGATTTTAAAGCAAATTAGTTTTTGATCTTTTCTTTAAGATTAATAGGAATAAAATTTCAAATTATTTAGTTTCAGTTCCAAATAATTTAAAAGTCGTTGAACCAAATGATATAGCTCTTAAAATCTGACTCATTTTGACACACTTTAGGTCTTTAGATAGCGCAAACTGAATCTTTTTTTTCATTGTTTTCTTTACCATTTAGTTTAGACTCGGCACAGAAATAGACCCCAGACGTGACTGAACCCCCTATTGTTTTTGTCTTATGATTGGAATTTTGAGGGCTATTCAAAAATTGCAATAAGAGCCAAATTTTAGGCCATTTTAACCACGCAAAAAATTTGAATTTTACAATCATCTGTGCACCGAGGGCTTTGTTTCCGACGGGCCTTCAACAGATTGAATTCGGCACGCGCGAATGTTTTGACAGGTGAAACCGGCAAAGTCGCGAAATCTCCCTCCCCCACGACACATAGAAGAAGTGCACGTGCGAATCGCGCGGATTCGCACCCTCGGCCGATCAGCTGGGCCGCGGGCAAAAAGGTCTAGGGCGGCCAATGCGTACCTGAGAGTTCGCAGGGTTCGGTGCGACCGCCGTCAGCTGACCTAGATTTGCGCAGCCTGCCTAGCTGGCAAGCATCGCAAGTGAAGTGACGAAGTGAGAGCGAGCGGCCGAGAGAGCAAAAGTTGTTGTCTTCGGACGGCTGCTTCAGGGGCCTCCGTTTGGCCGCCGTTCGCGGCCTCGGGCGCACGCGGGCAGAACTCGAGCTGGGCCGTGCTGCGCGCCCAGCGACCAACGGCAAACTTTCGGCCGCAAACACGAGCCACTTAGCAAAATATGGACGCACCCGTACGTTCACGACTCTACGAAGACTTTTGCTGCTGCGCTCGCCTCTGCCTCGCAACTCGCTTCTGTGCTTTGCCGAGGCGGTGGTGGGAGGCGCCGCTCGCACCGCCTCTCGCGGTCGTGCTCCAAACTACTGCGGCGCTTTGAATAGCGCTGGCGCCACCGAAAATTATTTTATGCTGTCCGGCCAAAGCACAGAAGCCAAGCAAATTCCGCTTTGTAAACTTGCTGAACTGCCTCTTAATTATGCTAAAAAAAGCCTTTCAATTGTTGCTTTGCCAAATTAAACCTTAAAAATATATAAATTAATATTTATACTGTATACTGCGGCGGATGGGGTTTCTATAATCTCCGAGGTTTTAGCAAAATACTTGCAAGCTCTTTGCCCAACATAGTTTTTTTTTAGATAAATTGTTTTCGAAAATTGAATGTAAATCATGTATTGAAACATTGTGGACAAATAAACAACAACAATAATAATTTAACTACAATGGAAGCTTTATTTTTTTTCTAAATATAATGAATAATGATACAAAAATGTTGCTTTTGTTTTTTCCAGTTACTCCAGCAATATCCAGCAGTTGATCTTTGCAATCTTTTGTATCTCATTCTGTTTTAAATTGCTTTATATTATTAAACAATATAGTTAAAACTGGAAAAATATCTTCTGATATCCAAAATAATAAATTAATAACCAAATATTTAGCCTGCCTAATTACTTTTAAGTTTTCTGCTTGAGTCTTGAAAGCTGGTGATAATAATAATAACCTCCTTAACCACACGAAGCGACGCTGCCAAGGAACATAATTTACTGTGTAATAAAAGAGATAAGTGCGAGTTGTTATTTATGCGTATTAAATTTGCACTGCAGAGACGCCTTTTCAAAAATTTTGTTTGTATCTAGCGATTTATTTCAAGAAGCCTCCAATGCGATTGTTTTGTTTATTCTTCCCAAATTTACCATTAAATGCTTCAACTTACAAAAAAAAAAAACATTTAAAATAAAAATAATGCATCTTGGAATTTTTAGCAAAATTCTTGTCAGTGATGGTACTGTTTTGTCCAACAGTTTCCCATTCTTTCAAACAATTTTTTTTCCTTTTAAAAAGATTAGGTTTTTGGATTATCCGCCTGCATTTTAATTAATGCTAATTAAGAGATTTTAGATCCAATTTATATTTTAAAGAAATCATCAAGATTAAAATATTTACCGATATGAACAATTTATTTAATGAACTTTTCATTTACCTTACCATTTTCAATGCAAGAATTTAAAAATCGAAACACGCCTTATATGATAAACTGAAATACTCTCCAGCGTTTTTTTTCCCTACAATTCTGAAAATTCTGCTTACAGCACATTTCATTTGAACGGCAAATTCCTATGCAAAGAATGGTGGACTATAATTAACAGCCATTGGGCTTGAAGCCGACATAAGGCCTATTTTCCGTTCATTGTTAAAGCTATACATGAGGGAAATTCATTTGAATCTTTTTACCAAATCCATGGTTAATAATAATTAATACTAAACTTGTAATTAAAAAAAATTATTTCCATTATTCTAATTTCTTGTATGTCAGAAGTGTCCAGCACAAGTAAAAAATTGCAACAACCTCTGCATGCATTATTCCTATTATATCTGTACACTTCCGCAACTTTGGACGTGCATTTTGAAAAGCCCTGCTCTCTTTTCTCAATTCTCTCGGTCGCTTTTTCAGCATCGCCAGGCTAGTTTCTTCTGCAAAAAGGAAAAGAACTAAGCCGCAGAGCCGCAATGGCCCTCGTTAAGGTTCTGCATTACTCTCGTCACATCATCTCCCTGCATTTCAATCTATATTGCACACAGGCGGTGTGTGCGTGCTTTGAATTTCTCCTGGGTGCATCTCATACATGACTTTGTGTGGCGCAGTTCCTTTTTTGTCAACCATACACTGCTCCGTTGGGATTTTCTTTCAATTTCAATTTTAATCATCAAGTACCGCTTTCAGTTTCTCTCTTTTTACTTAATAATTTTCCAGCTTTTTTATATAAAAAGTAAAAAAAAATTACATTAACACAATGTTAGCTATAAAAAAAAAATTAATTCATTTATTTCTATTTGGAATTCAATTTAATTTCAAATATCTACTCCTATTTATTTTAAAGTTGCTGTTCAGCAGATCCTGGGATTTGCTAATCCCAAAATTGACCCACAACTTCCGAGAAATCTGAAATTGAAATCTTGAAAGAGGTGCCCCCGTAGGTCATAAAATACAAATCGGTGTCTCTTTAGATTAGGTCAAAGCTGTGTTTAGCCCTCAGGAGGATCGCCAAGTTTTATATTTCGCTCGTCGCAAATTGCAGCTCGATTGCCGGCTGCTTATCAAATTTTCTATCCATCTCTCTCTTCACACAGAAGCAGCCTCAAGCGCTCGCTGGGGAAAGTTTACGGCACGCAAGAATGAGACAAGCAATCCGTCATCTCCCATGCATTTTTTTGCACTTGTGTACAGCGCAACTTATGAAAGCAGAGCGACTGGGCGATTAATTTACATGATAAAATTGCAGTACAACACCCTTGCTGCTCAGCAGGGTGCATAAATTGTGTTGTGAACGGTAGACATTTTCAACTTGGGGCTCAAAAATGTGTCCTAAGCCTTGAAATCTTTCAATTATAATGAAAGAATTATTTGAAATCTATAAAAAAATATTTTAGAAAGTTTTAAATTTATTTAATATAATTTAAAATTATATTATGAATTTCGTGTAATTTAAGTAAATTGAAAAAAGATTCTCATTTTTTTTGTATCACTATGTCACTAAAATCTATAAAATCAGTGGTAAGTAATAGTTAATAGCATAATTAATTTATATTAAAATATAACTTCTCTTTGGTTTTTTGATTGGGAATTTTCGGGAATTTCGTGTTTTACAGCCCATCATTAATATCCATAAATATCCGTCACATGCTGGGCAGACTGAATGCTTCTATTGCTTGCTCATAGACATGATTCTGGTTCTAGGCTAGGGTATATTGACACGGGCAAACCCATCAGGGTGTGGATAAGTAACGCAAAGTAGCGGAAAACTTTTGAACCGAGAGCATTTCCGCAGGCGCGCAGATTTTGCACAACCGCATCTCGTTATTACATCCCTCTAGTCCTCGTCTTTGCTGTCGTGTGTGTACTGTGTGTGTTAACCCGTTTGCCGCTGTCAATCAGCGTGATCTCATTAGTCTGCTGCAGCCGCTGTCTGTTCACTCACTCGACGCAAACGAACCCCAAACTGCCAACAAAGGGCCCAAAGAAAGGACTGCGCAAACGAGTTGGTGAATTAATTGGACCACTGATTCTGCCGCTGCTCGACCACTAACTCCGTGATTTGAACAAAACTGGCAGCTCGGTTTTTGTATGTCTGGTGCGCATTTCATTCAATTTGCTGCCCAGGGAAATATAGAATGAGCGAGCTCCATTCAGATCTTGTGCATGGCTATTTAAACCACAATTATTCTCGAGTTAGAGAGGAAAGATAGCTTTGTGAAAAATTAACGAGTAACTTTTGATCAACTATTTTCATGCGCGTATAAATACGCTAATTTAATAGGGGTTATTCGGTGGCATAATGCATTTTTAGATTAGAAATAAACTATCCAATCCACCAAAGGATATTTTATTCGATGAATGAAAAAGATTATAAATTGGAATAATAATTTCCAATATTTCTAATATTTAATAAAATAATTCAAATTAATAACAGCAATTTTTTAATTATAACAGTTATTACAAGAAAGCTTGTAAATTATTTATCCCCACGTCCTCAATCTTCAGGTAAGGAATTAAAAATCTAGAGGGGCATTTTTTAAATTGATTAATTTTTTAAAATTAAATTTAAAAATCCTTATTAATATTTTCTCAAAATTTTTATAAATAAATTGCAGTGCGGTTTAAACCGCATGCTTTGGTAATATATTTTGAAAAATGTACCAACAAGCCATTAGCATCCCTTTGGGGACCGGCGATGTTGAGGTTGGCCGCCGCAAAAGCTGCCTCGCCTGCCTCTCATATGAGAATTCGCGCCGCAGCCGCACATTTTATAATCAGCTTTTATCAGAAGCGCAAAATACGAACCTACACCACGTTATCTAAGTTGAGGCAGGTCCGGTTTGCCATCCACATCTGTGCGTTCATCCCACACATACATACGAGAGATGCGGCTATGAAGGATCCAGCATTCGATAAGCCGTCGCAGGTCAGTGACACTGCACACTGTCGCAGACGCCTTTTGGGCGCAGCGTCACTTTTTTCCACTAAATTGCTTCTCGCGTGATGCAACGAATGTGACTTCTGCAGTGACTGATAACATGGAAAATTGTAAAAAATTATAAATGAGCGATATGAGAGAGAAAATTGATTATTGATTAGCTGAGTGTTGTTTATTATTATTGCTTCAAATAACTGGCTCAAACTCTTATTGCGTTGAAGAGAGCAAATTTAATGAGCAGTGTCTTTCAAGATTGATAAAAAAAAAACAATAAAATTATCCAGAGAAATTTATATTTTCCTCCTATATATTTTCAATATTACGCAAATCAAACTGGATAACATTATTTAAAATACGAAATTATATATATAATTAATTAAATACTATTGTTTAAAAATATTCAAGATTACATTTGAGATCCTGTTGCAAATCTTTAAAATTCAAATAGTGTTAGGAAAATGTTTTTTGGTCAAACATTGACAGAGTAATTAATGTAAATAAAACTCCAAAAAAATCAAGAAAATTCAGTTTTCATCAATCCATCAATTTTTGGTAAAATATAATTTATTTTTAGTAAAAAAGCGTTTGAATTGTCACAAAAACATCTAGGCTCTTCGCTGGGTTATTTTTAATATTTTCAAGGTTTTCGTACCATTTGATTATAATAACTCAATTCTTATTCAAATGAAATTTTCTGCTTACTCATGACGGAAAATAAAATTTTGCTTTCATTTTCCTGGTATTTTAAGTTCTGAAAATGTGTGACAACCTTGCAAGAAAGGGCAACAAAGCATTTTTGCACTTGTGGGGCGGCGCTAG